GTTATTTTGAAAAATGATTTATACTTGAAAAGGCTGCAAGGTGGCTTGGTGCTTAGCACCGTTGCCGGTTCGCGTCCCGGTGAGGACACCCGGGATCTTTCTGCATGAAGTTTGCATGTTCTCCCTGTGCAGCGTGGGTTCTCTCCGGGTTCTCCGGCTTCCTCCCACTAGGTCCAAAAACATGTTGATGTTAACTGGTGATTCTAAACTATCCAGAGGTGTGAATGTGAGTGTGCTTGGTTGTCTGTCTCTAAGTGTAGCCCTGTGATAGACTGGTGACCTGTTCAGGGTGTCCCCTGCCTTCACCCTAAGTCAGCTGGGATAGACTCCAGGCCCCCCGCAACCCCAGTGAGGATTAAGCGGTGTATAGATAATGGATGGATGGATTTATACTTGAATATAACAGCTATTTAAGGGATCATCATACTTTTGCCCAAACATTCATGGTTTCCAGAAGATGAATATTTTTCTTCTACACCGTGAGGTTGACATTTGTGGGGTTGTACTATTTAGTTTGACTGTATCTAAAAGAGCCTCAGCGACCTGCTAACACGGCTGTAGACTCTTGTTTTCGACTTTGTTATTGAACACACTTAAATTGACTCAGGTGCTACTTCAGTTACATGTAAACATTTAAATAAACTGGAGATATTATAACTCATTTCACACTACGAGAAGCCTAGTATTAACTGCTTATGGTTTACGTACCATGCTCACTGGAACCATGTTTTTTTAAATTTCTGTCATGATACGTAACCAATAAATCAACCAACACATCACACAGCTGGAGACAGGTATATTCATTGCTAGCACGGTGTCCTTGTAAAGTTTTTTTTTTTTTTTTTTTTCAACCATAACACTTACTTACTTAACACAGGAGGTGTGAAAGAAGCTGAAACACACCGTCTTTTGTGGCTGCATTGCATGCTGGCCAAAGTGGTACCTTACTCCTCCTCAGCAGAGCTCCTCATGTGTGAATGTTGATCGGTGATGCCAGATGAATCGAGAAAGAAACCATTACATCACATTCATTTGGCAGATGCAAAACCGTTTGCATCCCATAGACATACACTGGGAGCCAGCTGGGGTTCAAGATTTTTTGCTTAGGTACCTTTGGACACGTGGACAGGAGTTATCTAACCACTTAACCTGTAATAAACCACCAAACTGGTGTGCAAATACCTCACCGTGATTTCAAATCTTCTAGCTCGGCCATGCAGTTATCTTCAGGAATAGGAAAATGATAGAAATGCAGAGCATGATGCTGCAATAGCCAAATGATTGAAATGAACAGCTCAGAAATAGCTTCTTTTTTCTTTTTTCCTTTTTTTTGTACACTTTTGAGGATGTTTAAAGAATGAACCATAGCCCAGGGACCTCACAGTCCATAATTCTGCAAGTGGGGCAAGAGGAGGTTAAGTTTAATTTGTTGCTTCCAGCTGTTTGTTGGAGTCTTTGCTCTAAGTTTATGAACTACCTGCAAATTTAAACAGCTGCAACATCTGTACGAATGTCTCCAAAACAAAGGAAATGCATGCACTTTTGTGAAACACAGTTGTAGCTTAATTAATTGCTTACAGTTATAAACTAGCCCTGACATGGAGACAGGATTGATCAGGATCAGCTGCAGTTGAGTCATTTGTTACACAGTTGACTTCCATTAAAGCTGGATATTATTTTAGTGAAAACGAAGTGCTATTTTGTTGTATAAAGTGTTTTTATTAGGTAGATTTTTTTGTTTAACAGGCAGATATCTGCAGTAGTGACACTACTTTGTGCACAGATGCATTATAGAACATGACCTCTCTAGTCAGTGAAGTAACGACCAAAGATGGGTTGCCAAGTAACAATGAAGTTAATAATCCTTCACCAAGGAAATGTAGGCATGGTAAAAAGCAACAAGAAATACAACAATACAATATTTATAATGAATATAAAGATATGATAAAGACTATATACACCTTTCACATGCACAGATGTGACATGATGAATTTACATACATATATATACGGTATGGCATGATGGATAATGTACCCAACTGAAACACCACTTTATAGCGTACGTTGATGTCGTTAGATAAATTTCCATCACACATAGGGGAATTTCTAGTGTCGAATGTCTTACCTGTGGGTGGCTTTTCCCCCCCTCCCCAAGTACACGAAAGCAATATCTTTTCTCCTGGGCTATTCTGAGCGGTGGTTGCCTAATAATCAAAATGCTTACTGTACCTGTATTTATCTTGGCACATCAGATAGTTAATAACATTAACAGTAGAAACTTAAACACAAAGCTTTGATGGTTAACATGTCCTTCTATAAGTATGCATAATGTTTAATTTAGTCAATTTTATTTTGAAATGTTTCAGGAACCCTGGTCAGCACCTTTTAACATCTTTGAGCTTTTACTTTGAAAGTGTAGTCCAGTATCAATCAGCCAATCACCTGTGATTTATTGATCATTTGCTATGAGAAGAGCAGAGGGAGGAGCAGATAGGCAGAATAAGGATTAGCCCCTCAAAGTTCCTAAACTGCAAGTTATATCGGAAAACATCTTTCACAGTGTGAAGCTTAATGTTATTTTGAACAAGCTGATATAGTTTCATGAACATATTGTGTATTATGCAGGTTTGGTGGCAGGCTAGAGAGACACTCCATTTCTGATTTTCACACAAATTTTCCATTCTTTAATGAGGGATTTTTAACACATGTTTTTGCGATTTTCATAAAAACATGTGACAACTCGTTTAAAAAGACATAGCACACCATTCCTGATGGAGCCATCATTTTGATATCTAATTCATATGGGTTTTCTCAAAATTGCGGGATAAGTGAGATGCCAAAAATCAAGTCGAAAGAATCTATAATAAGATTAAACTGTGCATGTGGAATAGCAATAGGTGGCTTCAGTGCTGAAGCATTGGCACACTTAGTGATTTCTTAACTTTCATACTAACACAGTTTTATATGTTTCCTGAAATTCAGTTATGATTTAATTTTTGTGTGCCACCCCAAGAGTTTCCCATTTGGCCACCCCGATGAACAATGTCTGGAGGCGCCCCTGTTCAGAATCCATACAGGACAAACTGCCTCCAGATCGTTCCAATCTCTCCGCTCAATCTGTCCCTTTTTCAAGTTTCGCTCCCAGCTCAAATCTCTCTTTGTGTATTTTTTATTTTTATTTTTTAAATTTGGGCATAGAAATCAATATCCGAATTGTACATGTATTTTTTTTCTGCTTCCAGCCTTCTGTCTCTTTCTCTCTCTCTCTCTCTCTCTCTCTCTCTCTCTCTCTCTCTCTCTCTGTGTATCTCTGTTCCCGGTGCGCGTCAGAGTTTGCGCAAGCAGCCTCTCCGCCTCTCCGTGTAGTACAGCGCTGCTCCGTCTCTCATTCACCACAGTTTACTATCACACTCGGACGGAGCGCGTACAAAGGTGCTGTTCTTCCTCCTCCTCCTCTTCTTCTTCTTCTTCTTCTTCTCTTTTCCCCCCTGCTTCGGATTATCACTGTGTTTTTCCATCATGCTGGAAGTGGAAGGTAGGAACCCCCACCAAAAAAACGCTTTTAAACTTTTATTCATTCCTCCTCGGATCGTCCTATATGCGGGTTGCTTGCGATTCGCCGGTCAACCACGGATGTGACTTTGACTTGTGTCATTATTTTTGCGATAAGAAAACCAGTGACAGATGTCTTTAAATGTTAATGCTTTCCGTTGTGTAACTGGGAGGAGTGTCTGTCTGTGTGCGTAACGCTGATGCTGATTTTCATCAATGAATATGTCCAGGAATGGCTTAAACAATAACACTTTCTTTGTGTTTTTTTTTTCATGAGAAATTAAAAAAAATGAAACAAAAAACGCGTGTGATAGTATAGCAGCCGGTGCTATGTCAGTCTTTTGGGTTGCTTTTTTTTTCATTTGTCTTGAATAATTCAGAAAGTTCTTTGATCTCGGCAGGGAGCAAAGATTTCACTTATCTGCTGCACCAACAAGGATAGACTCTGAAAAATGTAATTAGATGGACTCTACAAAAATGTTTAATATCGCTTACATGCAGTAGACTAATGCAAAAACTGGCTCACAATAACATAAATAAAAGAAAAGGGCTGGAAATTGCAAGAAAATAATGAATCTGTGGTTGTTTTTCTGAATTCCACCCTGGATGTTTTTAATTAGATTTGTATTCCGAAGGAAAACTTGACATAAACCTCCAGTCGGACTCGCTGTTGTTGAATCTCTCTTGAGGAATAAACAGTTGTTACCATTTTTGTATTCTCAAAGCAGTGTCTTGTTGCCAAGAAACAATAACTCCTGTCTTCACTGAGATGAAAGATGGGCTCATGTTTTGCTGCAACTTAATGATGCCATTAGGGCTTTTTTGAGTCTTTTTTTTTCTTTTCTTTCTTTTTTTTTCCTGACCACACACAGGATTTGAATGCAGTGTGGATTTATCTAATGTTCTTGTATAATGAGAGGATGCCATTGGGTTTTTGTGCTGTGCTGTGCTGCAGTGGGGAAAAAAGTAGACCGAACCGGGGTCACAAGTACACTTGAATAAAGGATGTGGCTGAAAATGAGGACAGCCCGGTGTTGTATATTGACTTCTAGCCATGCACTTGGTACCTACAATGTTATGTAATCCTGTCTGTAAAAGCTCCAGTAGAAGTGGCTCATTTCAGGAATAATTAACGCAGCAGGTTTTGTATTTTGGCTGAAGTAGAAAGGAAAAAAAAGAAAAAGAGTGGTGTGGATTTCACTGCTCTTTTTTCTTCCTCCCTCGCTCCCCCTCTTGTCCTCCTCCTCCTCCTCCTCCTCCTCTTCTGCCTCATTCATGTGAATGGATGGATGCTGAGGGTGGAAGTGTGGGCTGCTGCTAGACACCAATATAACTGTTCCAGAAAACATGCCTTCACATTTAAAGCATCGTCTATTTCAATATTTCTCCACCGGTCCGTCCCCTTCTCATCCACCCTGCTCTATTTTCTCTTTTGTGTTCTCCCTCCAGTAAATGGGACGCCGGCCAGTCAGCTGTCCACTCCTCATTCGGGAAAATCTCCCAGCCCCTCCCCAACCAGCCCGGGCAGCCTCAGCCGACGCCGGGTAAGACAACAATGCACATCCACACACACACACACAAACAAACAGGCACACACAAACAATTTCCCCGGTAGCATTCAGTGACACCAAATCAGTAAATCTATAACACATTCCTTCTATGTTCTCAGGAAAAGGACAAAGCCGTGACTGAGCTTAGACCGACTACATCTTAGAGTCGCTAGAATACGAAGAAACCACAACATCCCGACATCTTTAGTATGTCAGAAGGGGTGGGGCGTTGACCTTTGACCTCACCTAGTGCTGCTCTGGAGTTTTAAAGAATGACAGGCCCATGATAGGATCCGTGTTAAAAGTTTCCAATCCCTCCACTTTTGATGATACTTTGTGATATTTCCACCAATGCTAACCCATAGCTTTTTGTTCCTCATGGAGAACTCTATCTGCCTTTGCTAGCTCAACAATGAACGATGCTATCATTGACTTATAGAGATCACCTGACGTGTCAGTCGGTAATTTGTGCAATATCCCATCTAAAGTTGAGACTGACTGACTGAAATCTGTTTTTATTTTGCAAAAATTGGTTTGCATCCTTTTTTAGCCACTAAGCGATGCGTTGCATTGCATTTTAGTGTCTTTTAGCAACATATATTTTTTAAAAGCAGTTAATTCCAACTGCTGACGTAGAATTAATTTTTTTAATACTAAGATAAGTCATTTTGTACGTGTCCTCTTGTTAATGATTTAGAGACACATTTTATACTAGTTCATTTGATTATTTTAGATATTTTTCTTTTTTGTCAGGTATTCTGTCATTGGCCTGCATTCAAAAAAAACAATCCCTGTTAAACCACCAAAACTAAGAATCAGAATCTGTTTTCTGTAGCTAACGGGGATCTGAGATGCAACCACACTATGTACACTGTACAGCTCGTTCTTAATGTAGACAAAGTACTACTGTGTAGAGCAGAAGCATGCAACTCAAATGGAAAATCCTTGAATTCCACATTCCACATCCTCACGTGCAAGGCTGTTGTGTGTCTGTGCAAGTATGTGTGCGTTCAAGATCAAAGTATTTGTTAATCCAGTCCTTGGACAGTGATGATGGTGAGCTTTTAATATCAGCTTGCATCCTAATCAGACTCCCGGTTTCTCACAGCAGCACTATAATTTGTTGGAGCTCTAAGCCTGCTGCTGATTTAGCTCCTTCTCCCTCGTAAACAAACACTCACAAACTCAGTTTATGTCAACCTCATACATTCGCACACAGACATAAGTGAACCCGCCATGTGTTTATATGGGCTCTCCATTTGCACGTCTCATGTTTTTTCCCAAACACAGTGACTGAATCTGCGCTGCATGATTGTACCACTTTTCTGCCTGACAGCAGAGGTGCAGCTATGATTTATTTTGTAATTATATAGCTATTTATTATTTGTGCAGGCACAAGGCTTTTTTTTTTTTAAGGGAAGAAAGGCAAGAATGGGGTTGGAGTCAATACCTTTTAGTAGGACACAAAGAAAATTGAACGGTTTGTGAATCATTTCTGTACATAAACGAGTGTGTATGGCTGTGTGTACGAGTGAAATCAGCACAGCAGAAAGTAGTCATTTGTTGGGCTTACTGGATTCAGTCTTGTGCTACATTTGATGAGGCAGGAAGAATTAATGGATGGTGGAGAGTCGCGCCCGTAGGCTTCTGAATCCATCAGCGATATGGTTATATTGATGTGGTATGAAGGTCAGCCAGAGCAACAGGAACACATCAGATTTGGGTTGTAGCTGCTGAGAACAGAACAAGGTGAAACAGAGCCTCAACATTCATGCCTATAATGGAACTGGGTCACCATAGATTACAGTGTTGCGAGGAAACGGGTTGGCATGTGCGCGCATTTATAAACTCTCTCTTTCTTCCCGTCTGCTTCCCTCTGAATGAATAAACTCAGGGCAGCAAATGCAGACAATTACAGTGCTCGGTTTCTGCTGTCTCTGTTTCTTTCTTCTCAGATAATTTCCACAGATTCAGAGGAGAGATTCTGGGAGAGAAAAGTCAGGGGTAGAGAGGTGAAGGAGGACTAACCAGATGTGATGAGAAAATTGGGGAAAAAAAAAAAAAAGCCCCCTTCCTCTCCAAATTCAACCGCACTACCTGTCTTTATTGCCGCCGTCCACTTTTCTCATCAAACATTTAGCTTTTGTAGAGCCTCACCGGAACAGCAGTTAAATTCAAGTCTTACACAACACGAGTTGAGTGTGTGTTACTCAAAGAGAGATTATTCCAGGCTTTGTACTCGCTGACACTATATCGTCAGCCTGCAATGGCTTTGACTGGAAGGAAAGGGGAGGAAGCCTCACAGCCCATTATCTCTGCTCTCCACCCTGCAGCTTCACACTCCTCAGCCATATTACGTTGTAATTCTCTCTTCCACTTCTTACTTTTTTCTATCCGCCCTGTTAGCGATTCCCTCCCTGTCCCTTCCCATCCCTGACAGTTTCTAATTTCTCTTTCACTCCATCTCCCAGCCATTCTCACTTTCCCCCCAACACCCACACCCCTCTCTCTCTCTCTCTCTCGCTTCCCCCCATATGAAAGAGTATTAACTTCACAGGGAGAAATCATACTCCATCATTTCCCTTGTAGATGATTTCTAAGCTTCTTTGAGAAGCCCAAGATACTATTTGCACATTTTCTGTCCTTTTCGTCACCTCCGCGTAAACTCGCATGAATAATCATGAGCGTAGAATGCACACGCACACACAAATCCTTTCATTGTTGGGCGTGTGAATACCTTTCTCATCACTAAAAAGCTCTACAGCTCTAATCAAACTGTGGCTCAAAAGTGATCTTTGTCCTTGAATCTGAATTTTAACATCAGGGAATATAATATCGTCCGCTGATAATAGCTAAAATCTTTTTTGAAATTTCAGATGATTAAACATTAAAGCTACCTAAAAAAATGAGCTCTTAAATAAAGGTTACAAAAAAACAAAAAAGTCCATTTCCCGAGCAGCCACAGTCTCAGTGACCTACTACGAGTGTTGCATTTAAACAGTTCACCTCGCTGGACCCTGCATTTAAACACTTAGAGGCACTTTGCTGCCTGAAGTAGGTTTCTTGCACGGCTCAGACCATTACAGCCTATTTCCCCGAGCAAAATGTGCGGGCACAGTGATGCACTGTGGCTTTTTCCCTTTCCTTTTTAACGCGTACATAGCTGTAGGCACACAGACATGCACACGTTTTAAAGAAATGGCGCACAGAATCACTTACACTGTCATGCGTAGTTAAGAAAAAAACATACACGAAAACGGCATTTGTGCGCCGTCAGGAGACTGCAGCTCGATGCACACTTGCACATGTCGTGTGTTTTATACATTCGGTGCACGCTATGACCCATTTTTATGAATTATCAAAGGAAGCATGAAAGAGTGGTCTACATTCACAAAGTCATCCATCCCTCCCTTCTTCCCCTTTGCACTTCTTATAATCCTTTTAAGGCCACTTGCCTCACTGAGAGCACCCTAGATTACCATATCCAGCTTGCTTTTATATGTCATATTAAACCCATAGACGTCCACGCAGGCCCACACCCTCAACTGTCTTTTCCGTCAGCATCAGCTCTGGAGCACGTACAGATGAATCGAGTGAGCCGGCGAGGTCACAGCTCCCTGCCGTCTGTTGGCTTGGTTAGGTGTGAAAAAAAACATAAACAGGGGAATAAATCATTTACAAAAAAAAAAATAAAAAAGACAATACATGGAGAGTAGCAGCTGACAGATTGAAGGCGAGACAGAAGGTCTGTGTCGCAGCACAGTCAGGTAGCTGTTTGTGTGAGTGTATGAGAGGAAGAAAGTGCTAATTGTATCCGTAGTATGTCACCTACATCCTCCTCTCACCGTTTAGTCATTCATGTCCATGATCCATTGAATTGCATGCTCCGTCTCTCATTCATTTCGTCCATATTTTTGTGTTGGGTGATTCATTATTAAATTATTTGTGTATGTGTGTGAGTGAGTGTGTGCGAGAGAGAGAGAGAGAGAGAGCGCCAACCGAAGAAGAAAGTGTGCATTACAAATGTCTAATTGTTGTCTTATTCATCCACGTGAGTGTACTGTTACTAAAGATTGTGCTTGTTTTTTTCGGCTGTAATATATTTTGTAATTTCATGTCGTGTTGATGTCATTAGATGGTTTGTCCAATTTTGTTTCTATGACTGCCAAAAAGGCTGGCTGCACCACATGAGGAAACTGTGGAAGATGCAATTGCTTCAATTTTCAAGTTTCTTTTTTTTTTTTTTTGGGCCATTTTATTCCTCAAAATGATTTCGCAAAGATCTGCTTATATTCATATCGTTAATGCATCTAAAAAGCACGCATTTTGCAGAGGGCTTCCATTCACACGCATAAAAATCTCAGCACGCAGTCCATCTTCTACATGTCGTGATTTTTGTCATGTAATGCTGCCAGCTCTTTCCCGGCTCATTTGTTTCTGTTTGTGTTTTCTTTTGCTCAATGTATTCATTTCCATTTGTTGAAAGTCACCATTAAATTCATTGTCATTTCATTTTTCATTTTGCATTCTTTATTCGCCTCATTTTCACTCAGTGCTGTTGATTAACAGCTGTTCCTCATGTTACAGCATTATTATGATAATTAAGAGGGTGACTATTGTCTTCACATGCACGTTTACCAGCGGTTCTCCTTCATTACACTTGTGC